CACTCTTTTGCTGTGGAGATCAATATCTGGAAAAGCTTGCACTCCTTTTAGGACACTCTCCCAGCCCCAATATGAGTCCCCCTTCCATGGCCTTTCTGCACTGGCTGCTTGCCCCACAGACACAGCCTGAGGTACACGAGGCTGTTCAGAACTTCCATGAACTTGTTTCTGTGGAAAGCTGTGATTCTGAGGCAGTGCAATTGCATGGCTGACATTTTTAGCTGGTACTTCGCTATTCTTTCATCGACCAGGCATCAGCACAAACAGCCCATTTTGCCTCCTGCTTCATCCTTAGCCAGGATGTGGATGTTTCACCAATGCCTTACTGACCTGGGCTCCCAGCTGGGCTGAACCCTGGGAGGAAAATAAGTCCACGACTCATTTGGGACTGCGTCTCCCACACAGACCTGAGATATTTTCAGTGATCTGCTAACAGTGCAAACAGAATAACCAGATGTAAACCATTTGGAAGTGCAGCCAGGAAATTTAACATACAGTAGCTGAGAGAGGACAACCAGCTCTGTTAAGTCAAGCCAACTCCTTGCCTGTGGCAGCTGTTAGGCAGCCAAGCAGAAAGGCAGAGGAAGCTCACTGCATGGCTGTCTGCATCACAGGTCCAGGGCATATGGTTTCACCAGGGATGCCACCAGCACACAGCAACCTGGTGCCTCCCTCCCTTCACACAGACAAGCTGGAGGCAAACTACACTGGCAGCAGCTCACAATTTCTTGAAGAAGTAGGAAATCCTAGTCTGCAAGTGATTCCCAATCCAGTTATTTCACAATAAACTAACCTAACCTGAGACAAAATGTTTCATACAGGGAGAAAGAAGGTTAGGATATTATTTTTTAAGCTTCTCTAAACAATCTACAGTTAGCTTAAACCCATTTTTATCTCCCTCTCAAATACACACACTATACTTCATGCTGTCAGTAGAACAAATATTAGTTTGTGAAGCAGCAAGTGCCCAAGGAGGTTGTGAAATCTCCATACCTGGAGATACTTGAAACTCACCAAGGCAGGCCCTGAGCCACCTCACCTAACCAGTCCTGCTACAAGCAGAAGGTCAGTCCAGATCATCTTCAGAGGTCCCTTCCAACCTACACTATCCTCTATGGTTTTGCGCTTCTGAGTACAGAAAATTTCCACATTTCACTTGTTTAAACAGAATTGATACAGATCTCCACAGTACAGGTTAAAGCAGGAAAAAAGTATTAACCTGTGTCTCTGGAACATAAACTGACACACAGGAAACACTCAACTATAGACTTCCAGTAATGTAATGCAAATTGCCTTTTAAAAAAATAAAAGAAGTTTCTCCATGTAACATTAAGATAGTCAATACCTTTCCATCTCAACACACTGATGGGGGCACAATTCCACACGATCCTCTGCATCTTTAGTCTTCCTTTTGAGCTGCTCCCAGTGAATCTGTTAGAAGCAGAGGGGGGAAAAAAGCAGACTTTAAGGGGAAAGGAAAAGAATAACAATTTAAGAAGCAAAAGCTAAGTTACAATGACAAGAGATAATAGTGTCTTGTCTATATCTCCATTTTCTTCTGCAGAAGCCATAAATGGTTGACAAACATTGACAAGAATCTACTTCCTCCTTCCTAGCACCATCCTCTCTCTCAAGTCCATCACTGTGTCAGGGACAGTTTTACAAGGGCAGGAGCAACAACAGTCTCTGGCTGTGGTGGCAAGAATCTAGCCAAGGAGCAAAGCTATCAGCAGTCACAGGAAAGATTGGAAGTATTGTAAAAAGGGCTTTTATTATTCATCCTGAAAGAACCAATTATCTTAAATACTCTAGAGCTCAAGCATGTTCTCACATTGTCCAGAAAATTCATATGGTTCATGGAAGCATCCAGTAAAACTAGTGCTCCAAAATTAAGAGAAATTGAGTAATGTCTTGGATCTGAATCACTTGGAGAGAAAAGAAAAGGAGCCATGTGTAAGTTATTGTGCAGGAGTGTGTTGTTCAAGCACTCCACAAGCTCCTAACAAGCTTCCCTCTGGTCAGGGCCAGTTACTGCCCAGCAATGCAATTCCAAAGAGAACACAGAGAAGGAAAAAAAACAACATCCCTCCCAGAGAAAAGGACACACATCAGGATAACAGCAAGGAGTCCACATTTAGATAATCCCTGAAAACTGGAGTTTTTTGGATTAGAACTCCAAACATGAAAAAAGCAAGCTTTTTTAATTTCTCCATCACAAGTGGGAGAACAGATAGTACAAAGAGTGAGCCAATACCACCTCATCCAGAGGAGTCATTCTGCTCCTACGCTGCAGGCTGGTGACAGCGCTGAGTATGTTCCTTCAGGCTGTGTGGGACACCCCGGGTTCATCAGAAAAGGGGCCGAGAAGCCTTATCCTTCCCTTGAGACCCAAATGACAAACAGTATCATTATGCTAGCTGCTAGAATTAGAGAACTGACAGATTTCCTGAGGTCCATCTTCAGTACAGCAATGTGATCACTGAAATAAACTGGGGAACCATCAAGAGTTAACCTGTTATTTATAAGCAAATAAGTTTTCAATTACAAGTCACTCTATTGGAAACATCAACTTAATGCAAGCTCAGAGCTGAACATTTTATAGAAACCATGCTGCTTCATCTCTATGCAGGGCAGAAATTCAAAAGTAAAGGTTGCCAGGAGAAGATCTGAGGTGTTTGGCATCTCTCCCCCCTCTTAATTAGAGTTCCTGCAGGCATTTCACACATTCTAAATGCATCTGGTAATCACTAATTACGAGGATCCTATTAAGGGGGAAAAAAAAGTCAATTCAGTTTCATGTGAAACTTGATTCCAGCTTGTCTTGAGTTTTATGAGTGTCTGTTTAATCATAACAAAATCACAACGAAGTATGGAAAGCCGTATCCGATTGATATCACTGGGAGCTGCAGACACTGGGGACTAATGAGGACTGAGCCCTGTTTTGGAGTGCCTAAACTTGGCTTTCAGGTGTCTAACTTAAAAATGTAAAATTTGAAAAGTGTTGACCTAGAATGAACATTTTCTATCACAACTGAAACAACAGTAAAATAAAATGACTAAAGGAAATCTGACCATAATTTTCCGAATTAAAAAAAAACCACCAAAACACCACAAAATTCAGACTGCTACTCCAGCTCTAATCCATCCCACTGAGCTTTGACATTTCAGCAGCCTCAGATGAATTTGACAACTTGGGCACAGCATTGCAGCCCATGTGTTGAAACCCAGGCCATATTCAAGGGGTGCAGGTTAGATGTCACTGGAAAGTGACACCCATGTTGGCAAGAGTTGTGTAAGAAGCAAAACTGAAAAGAAAAAAGCAGTGAAGAACACAGAAAAGGTATTTATTTATCAGACATGTCAGTTCCAGGTTCTGCAGTGACAGAGTGGACAGCCAGATTCAGGGACGTGCAGGGAATGGCTGTCCCTCCCAGCTGGGGAGCCCCCTGGGACTGCACAGTGGGGGCTCTGGGTTCTCCATGGCTGGAGAAATGCACAGAAAGGAGCTGCTGAAGCCCACAAGTCCCAAGTCACTGTGTGGCCCAGCTGCACACCCAGCCAGCACAAACAAGCATATCTCCAGAAGTCCTGCTGCTAACATCTGCTGGGGTGGGGGATGTTGTACACGTCTCCTGACTCTTAGTCATATGCAGATTTTGCAGCGTGTCCCTCAGCGCTGGGCACCTCCATTTAATGCCTGTCTATACAAGCCAGCCCAGACATCCAACCATTTTGTTACCACAGCATGGCAGTACATCCACCCTCTTCTATCCAGATATGGGAAACAGCAGTAAAAGTTCCCTGCAGTGACAGCTGGCATGACCCATCCAGGAGCATGGTCAGGTTTGTGCCAGCTAAGCAGCATTGCCACCTGCTTTGATTTGCCTCCACTGTTTCCTGAACTCTTGATGCAGAATAATGGCTTTGCCTTTCACTTCTCGTGGGGTTTTCTTTTGGTAAAACTTGTCAGTCCTGAAAGGCTTTTCTTACAAAATTTACTGCAATGAGTTTGACCTGTGCTGGCAGCACAAGTTGTGCTAAAGCTAAATCTCCACTTATGAATCTGAATGAAAGAGATGCAACTCAGTTATTGTGCCATATGCAAGTGTTTGTTGTTAGAACAACCATAAGTTTTTACAACTATAATATGCAGTGTAATGCTGTAGGTTTTTATTAGATCAGGCAGATTGAAGCCAAGACGGATAAACTTCAGCTACTTCAAAGAATTAAGGCTCTGTAAAAGAGGAGGTTATAATGGTCATATAATGGATTGCTCAGAATTACATAAATTTTCTGCTTTCTGTCAAGGCTTTTAAGAGCAGGAACACCCTGAAGTAAAACAGAATCAGCCCTGCTCACAGATTTATGGGGTTTTGCAAATAATTGGAAATGTTGGGTAAAAAGCATGCAAAATTTCCCCAGCGCTTACCCACCACATTTATCAGGGCTCTAAGCTCTGAGCACTTCCTAGATACACCCAAATAGGCCAAAAAGCACTTTTTGGTTGGAGTGTTAATTTGCATTAAAGCCAAGCAAGTTTTCCACATACAAAAACTACATTTGGCAACAAAAAAATACAACGGCCGAGAATGACATTGTAGAAATGATCACAGCCAGCCAGGCACTCACTGAACTGGTGTTCCAAAAGGTTATCCAAAATGCATTTCACAAACATCTGTATCATAAATGTCAAATCCTGCAATGCTCCAAATCAGTATTTTGTGGGAATGCGATGCAAAATGAATGCCAGAAATGAGCTAACCTAAAACATGCTGAAAGGGACAGGAGATTTTTGGTTTGGTTTGATTTCCCTGCCTAAATCAACTCAATTGTTCAATTTTACAGACCAGCACCATAACCAGACATGTTGTCCCAGTGGAGGGAACAGAAAACAGATAGTATGCCAAATAAATGGAAGCACATGCCATGAATAAGTTACCTTTTCTGTGACCCCCAGCTTTGCATTGTGAAAGATCCATGTCCTGTCACAGGCTACTTACCTAACCGAAGTATTACCCATATTGCAAAATAGCTCCAAAACAAAGTGGAACATATATCATCATCAATGCTGTTGATAAACAAGCAGCAGGTTACACACTATCTGTGTGTGGCTGTTGTGTAGGAGGAGTGGGAGGGACAAATGCATTATTACTGTAAATGTGATCAAAATGGAAGAACAACCAAAGAAATAAAAAAAGCATTTGATGAAAGAAAGCTATAGCAACACTCGCTAAAGCTGATACAAAACAGGAATAAAGCCTTTGAGACTACTGTCCTCTGAAGAAATCAAGCATATAACCCTGCTGTGATCTCCTCCTTCCTAGATATTCCCAGGTTTGGCTCTCATAGCAGCACCAGTGTGCAGTGCAGCTAGCCTTGAACCAGCCACTGCATTGCATCTTTTGCAGCTTCAGTCATGTAAATGTTGCCAACAAAAAGCTGCAAACACAGCAAGATTTGCCAGTTCTCTCCTCCCCCATTATTTCCTGATAAAGCGCTGAAACTTTGATATCAGGCAGTTTTTAACCAAAATTTCAAATCTGAAGCTTGGTTTTTGCCAAAACATAAAGAGCAGTTAAGTTCCTCAGTTCTGCCCTGCCTAATGTGGTTCAGATAAAATGAAACTGGTACCTGCCCTGTGCGATGAGGGAAGATTTAACACCCAATACTTAAAACTGATCTCACCATTAGGTAAAAATGTTCTTGGCTAGGCTAACAGTAGCTTCAGAGCATCAATCACCCCAAAGAACTTAATTCACAGATGCCCTCCTACGAAGCTGTAACACCCACAGCTTGATAAACAGCCTATTTACATTTCTTGAGATCAGCTCAAACCATGCAGCAAATGAACTAAATTTCACCCCAAACCAACAGAAACTCCTTGGACTGAGGAAT